TGAACAGGACATAGCGTTGACATTCTGGAAAAGCTGGCCCAGCGATGCCTCCATCAGGACCCAATGACATTTCCAAGAGTGTTAGCTGTACCACTCCGGGCCTTGGCAAGCAAAAGGTTATGACATTTTTTCATAATGTATAAAACAAATATAGAGTGCAAACCAATCACCAAGCATGTGGGCAGAGGTATTTACTTTAGTGTGCACATAGCAGGAGTTGTTTTCAGTGAGATGAGGAATAATCATGCTGTTCTTTTTAATTATAAGTTACATAAACCACCTTACATAATTTAAAAAGTGTGTTCTTTTTGTCTTTAATTTAGTTTTTCGAAATCCAATTTGATATATCATTGAAGTTTACCTACTCTCCTGAATTTCAACATCCAGCTTCAATTTATGTGAAAACTTGGACATTTCACAGACAGACGTCAGAAAAAAAAAACCTTTACTGCAGCCAGACGCATTTTCCCAGTTGCCTATTTTCCAGTGGCTTTACTTTCTACACCTTCCTCCCTTCTTTCTATCTTTTCCCCTACCTCCCTGTCTCTCCCATCCCTCCCCATCCTCCACCTCTCTCTCCCTCGTACACTCTAGTCCCATCATGCCCCATCTTTCTCTCTCCCTCTGATGTCAGAGCCCCACAGGGTGCTGTATTTACTGCCTGTCAGTCACTATCGTTTAGTGTTTATAGTCCATCCAGTCTCTCTGATCCATTATAAACAGCTCTAAGTGGCACAACAGTCCCTGCTTGCCGTCACTCAACACTCCATCTATTAGACTTGTACTCAACCTAATTAATCCGACAAGTTGCTCAGCATAAAAATGAGACGAAACAGTTACACCCCTGAGTGTAATGTCCTGCCAATATATGTTTTAAACAGAATAAAAAGGCATATGAATTCATGTGTTTATCCAAGTGGGAAATCTCAATGATTTTGTTGGCTTAATTAGAGCATCAGAAACAAGCACAGATCAGTCCCAGTTGATTTAAATCAGAGTTAAAGCTCTGGTGAGAGGGTTATGACTGGTTATGATTCTTTATATGGATACAACAAAAAAAAGGACCAGACAATGAGAAAGATTGACTATGTTGTTATTGTTTTTGCCAGTGTTAGACGAAACAATCTGCTGCAAGAGGACTACAAGTCTGTGTAGATTTTTTTTTTTTTTAAACGTCTACATGACAGGATCAGAAGTCTAAAGGGTTCCCCATGACTGACACAAACAAAAAGTACCTCACAGTCACTTTAAATGTGTCTTGACAGGCAGGACTTTAATGTGTTTTCAAGGATGCACTTTGGATTCTTTAAGCTCTGAAGGCCTATGATGTCATATGCAGCTAGTATGTCCAAATGTCAATCAGAATAGACAAATTGGACACTGAAGAAATGTATGCTTGTAACTGTAATTTATAGCTGGAAGTGTGAATAGTTTAATGGGCCTATAAGCATACTGTATGTATTTTATATACAGAGATTTAAAGTGGCAATGTAAGATCAGTTTCTCTTCATTCAGGTCTTAATATAGATTCATATTTTACCAGCACACACTACTTCTAACAACAACCAAGTTCAATCAAAATCGTCACCATTGAAATACACTTAGATCACACAAATTGATGATCTGAGTCTATTTATACCCCAATGATTCACTAAATTACCAAAGAAACTCGTCAATTTTTCCAATATTCTAGTTTCCATTCTCTGTAATTAACCGCCAATCTTCCTGAAAATGAATCAGAATGACTTCACTCCAGAATTTTCTCTGGTGGATTCAACACTGTCTGGATATTACTCCCCCCCAATAGACCCAGGGCTATTAATAACTCAAAGACTTTCAAGGACATTCAAGGATTAAAGTAGTTTTTATATCCCTTAATGTGGATTGGGAATATTTTGGTAGCTAAATATGTTGTGTAATCCCCTCTGCCTCCTGCTGCTTCCAGTCTGCTGTGTGTGTTGCCTAATATTTAGTATAGGAGGACTCAATTTCTGAACTTTTTTTTTTAATTGCTTCAACATTACGGTCACTGGATTTGCCAACTTCACCAAAAAATTTGCTGCGGAAATGTTTTATTTATTTTTTTAGCTTTCCAGAGAAAACAAACTCTTTATGATAACCAATGCTGTTGTTGTGTTGAAGCACAAAAGAAAAAAAACAGATTACCTCAGGTGAACATGAATTATTTCTCTTCATCATTTCACTCAGGCCACATGACGTATTCTACAGTTTTTGCTTAACTGAGCTCCATTCTCGCACAGTGAGACGATGATAAAAATACAATTCAATTACTGGTAATTGCTAGAATCACCGAAATTGAAACAGTAATGTGAAGCCTGACAGTGTTAATTACCCAGTGTGGAGCATTGTTACAATGTACTGTCTATTTCTATTGCACTTTCAGAGATTTGGGGCGCAGAGTAGCAAGAAGAAAGACCTCAATCCAGCCGAGAGAAGTAGAGCTCTATCATCCAGTGAAGTGCACTTGTTTCACTCATTAAATCCATTACACCTCCAGGGGGTCGCTTCAACCACTGACCTCTCTGTGATGGGTGGTGAAGAAAAAGAAAACTTCCCCTACCTATCTGGAAAAAGGTATCATTACATCAGATCTATCATTACTGCATGGGTAGAATGTACCCACACTGCCTAGTCACAACCTGTCTAGACGTTCTCATGCTCACCCGACACGCACCCGTTCCAAATCCTGTTAACGCAGCCAGCGCCACAATAACCTACATTTCACAGTAATCACACTGACTGACTGACTGACTGACTGAGGCTTGTGAGGGCATCTGAATGATAAAGAAACCTGGTGATGGTGCTCAAGGCTGGAGGGAGCATGCTGTCAACTACATAGGGATAGGAGGAAAAGGAGGATGGTGGGATTCAGGGGCTTTTTTGTGCGTTCAAATCTTATTTGGAAAAGGAGGATATGCATTTTGGAGCACCATATTTCTCTGGCAGTGCTCCAAGCTTCCTGCAGCTCTGAGAAAAAAAAAAAAACAGACAGAGATCCAAACAGACTGGGATACACACACACACAGAAACCCACTGCCATGCCACAGTACTGTAAGTCTTGCCTGTTATTTAGTTTAAACATATTTTGACCAACTGAGATTTGGTTTAGATAGCATGGGATGAATAATGTGCCTTTGTTTCTTTTAGCAGCACAGCAGCAAGAGCACTTCAGTGTGTCAAGCTGGATGTAAATCTTCCACTAAATTGGAATAGCTTTTAGCAATCATTTTCCTTCAGAATTAAAAACAACATCATTATGTGCAATGTAAACTCTATAATGGCACTGGAGCTGGTTGTTAAAATGTTCCTGGGTTTTGTTAGGTACCAAAATTATTGTTTCTGAAATTTGTAAAAAAAAAGGATGCATAGTAGAACTTAAAAAAAAAACCAATATGGATTCACGTTTGCAACTTTTTTGGTATCTGATTGAATAAAAACTAAATAGGAGAACCAAGCATTTTGACCTTTAGGCAGGCCTCACTGTCACTCATCCAACGACGCAGAACATTGGTATCTTGATCCTAAGTAATGGACTGGGATTTCTTTAAGCATGAGAAAAATAAAAAAAAGAATCCTCTAGTACGTGCACAGTACACAGACACAGGGGGATGAGACACGCGTGTGCACGCACATGCTCGGTCGCGCAACATGGGCCTTAGATTTGGCTGCTTCCGCAGTTTCTCTGGGCGCTGATGCACGGAGTCCCCGACTGACACGCCTTGTGTTTCTCCTCCCATAAGCCACAGGAAGAAATCATATTCAATTCCCACCGTGTTATTACAAAAGCCACACAACACTCAGCCGGCATTATAAATTGGGATTGAATGGGGAGATGGTGAGTGAATGTTGGCGGACATTTGTACACTACACATTTGCATAGTGGGATTTTTTTTTCAACAAGTATCAGGAAAATATATCTGTCCATTTAACCAGGCGCAAATTAGTGTTAAATTTGGATGATTGCTGGATTGCATCCGTGGCTCTTAAATGACATAAATTAAATCTATATACAATTTCTATAACACAAAAGTAAATAAATGTATCCCTATGGCACTATTATGGCCTCTAAAACATGGTGTAGTCTATTCTTACACAAAACATTATTCATACTAAAGTCAGTGAACTGATGTCTATGTGCGTGTGCATGTGTGAGTGGGTGTGTGCGCGTGTGTGTGTGTGTGGCGAGAGGGGGAATTACTCATGGCTGGTAATACGGGAGATGACGTCACTTAAGAATCGAGCTAACCTGACACTCAGAGATTACATCAGTGGACAGGAATATACTGTGTTCTGTTCAGCTTGATAAGAGTAACAGCAAAATGCGTTCCAAAGGGTTGGATTAAGAAAAGAAACAGATAAAAAACACTAAGGCCTATACCAATAAATTCAAGTGCTTTATCAAAATAGATTTGACAAAAATCTTGATATTGTTTACGCTCTTTTCGTAAAGTTTGGAAGAGATTTTCTCCCATTTATGAAAAAGCAATCTCACTGTTGCACAATTTTATTACATTGTTAATAGAATCTCATACATAGGCTTAATTCATAAGAATGTGCAGCATCGTTGTGTTTTTCTGTGCTAAGCCCTAGTAAAGGTAAACCTGTAGGGCTTTTGTAAGGATGATAATTCTTCTGATGATACGGTGATGACGGTATGATTGTGTAAAATACAGGCTACTGTCCCCCTCTTATTCCAGTTGTTGATATGGCTGCCGCCGCGGGTGCTGTGTAACAGCCCTGCGCACCGGAGCCAACCATTAGAGGAATGAGAGAGAGAGAGAGAGAGAGAGAGAGAGAGACGGGAGCAATAGGGGGAGGGGTAGAAAAAGAGAGAGGAGGAGAGTGTGACTGTGTGTGAGGATGGATGGATAGTCTACCGGGCTGTGCCGGCACTGCTTGAAGAGCGCGCACACACATACACACTCTCAGAGGGTAACGTGTGAGCCAGCCAGTAAGTCGGTGAGAGTGTGTGAGCCATGTTGGATGTGAATGAACGGGAGGAGAAATGCTGCTGCCGCGCCGCTCCTAACGCTGAGACCTCCTGCTCCACGGACCTCAGCGGGTAGATGCCAACTCTCCAGGCTGACGGAGAGACGGGGGAGCCTGGGGGAAGGTGTCGGGCGGTGCCGGCAGTCCTGGAACTGGCCACCTAGCCAGAACGAGGGAGAGAGTGAGGTAACAGGGAGACGGGAGGACGCACTCGAGAGAGAAAGAAGGAGAATAGGCAAAGGTGGAAGAGGGAGAAAGGAGGGGAGAGGCAGAGAAAGGAAGAGACTAAATGGCTGCACCGCTACCGGGCTTCACCTCGCTCCTGCTCTCTTCTTTGGCACTCCACCTGCTTCTCCTCGGCCCTTTGTTTGCCCTCACCCCGGGGACGGGGAATACAGGAGGGGCTTCCCACCGGTGGACCCCGGGCCTCTGCTACCGAGACGCCGGTAAATTGAGCCAGCAGTTTCAGCAGCAGAAGTGCGAGAGTGCAGGGGAGTCGCGGTGGGGCAGCTGGAATCTACGCCCAAGCAGGTGGACCGAAGAGTGGATACAGTCTGGAGGATGCTCTGGATTTCAGCATGCAGGACGGACGCGGGGAGGATATCACCGGGATGGGACGAGGGGGATATGGAGGGAGAGACTTAATGAAGTCGGGACGTTATGGAGGAGTGGAAACGGCCCTCCGGCTCCACCAACGCCTCCCCCTCTTCTCCTCCCAGGTGTTAGGAGCAAGTCGAGCTCTGATGGCGTCGGCGGAGGAGAGGGAGTGGAGAGAGAGAGGATGAGGATGAGGAGGAAGGGCGTTGTTTCTCCTCCCGCCTCACCTGCCTTCACCTCCTCGCCGGTTCTAAACGGCAAAAAACGGGCAGTACAAAGGACTAGAGTGTGCGCACAACGGTGGCCGGCGTCGTGGCCACACCTCGCCAAACGTGGCGCCGCCGGAGCCTTTGTGCACGCCTTTGGCCTGTGCCGGGCACCCGGAAGTGGAAAGATGAGAGGGGAGAGGGCTTGTGAGGTGAGGATGCTCTCTGCTACATGGTGCTCCCTGACACCAAGGCATCTTTACAGGTCAAGCCACAACAAACAAGCCCGCTCCCCGGCCGGCAACATGTCTTCTGGCACCGTGCCATCCTGTTTCTCTTGTTGCTTTCATCCTCTTTCTGGGTGTTGCTTACTTCACTGTCAGGCTTCAAACTACACCTCCAAATCCAACAACAATTCAGGCTGTATCAAGAGATCAAAATTGGACAAAATTCTTCATTCATCAGCTTTTTATTCCTCCCAGACCGGCTTCACTGATCAAAATCAGCCGCATCCAGTTTATAGGAACAGCAACAACAGCAGGGATGGGGATGCTGATGGGGGCTCAGCCAGCATGGACAGGAGGGCTGTTAATTGTTCTCATTTGGGCAGGCACAATGTTATCGATCCCAGCAGCATCAGAGAGGGGGGTGATGATAGCAGTTTGACTGGGTGCATTAGGAGCAGAGAGAGGGAGAGGGGGAGGAAGAGAGGGGGAGATGTGGAGGAAGAGAGGGAAGCGTGCAGATGTAATGCCCGGGCGGCGATTAACCCCAGTATCAGGACACTCCTAGATTATTGTGGACTCCTTGACCGTGACCCAAAAGCAAGTTCTAATAGTTTGTGGCTTGTTGAAGAGAGAAGGGAGGGGGGAGATGGAAGAGAGGAAGGGCGGAATCGAGGCAGCAAATGCATTAATTTATCCAATTATCCGGATAATGATTTGGCTTTTCCGATTCTGACTTTTTCATGTAGGGCTGATAATGAGCTTCAGCATGGGAAATCAGTACCAGCAACCAGAGGGCAGAGCAGTCCAACCCGAGGAGAAAACAGTAAGGTTCCCGGTGGTTGCTTTGGTTGTTTGGGGAGAGCAGAAAAGGGGGATGGTTATTTAGCTGCGTTTATGGCCCCGGAGGGAGGCATAGCTCAGAGGAATGTCCTCATCCAATTTACCCCCAGCAGCATAACAGAGACTCCAGGCCAACATTTTCTCTCTAGGAAAAGCGCAATTCCTGAAATCACATCAAAATATCCTGGCCCGATAGTCACTACGCCCCCTCACACACAAACAGGCGGTTACGCAGAGAGTGTGAAACCATCCAGACCGCGTTTCTCTGCTGAAGAAGTAAACGCAACTTCAGCTCCAGAGCCCGCTGGTGACTCAGTGTTTTTCTCGCCTGCTAAGTTTCCCGTTACTTTTCTCGGTGATGTGTCAGCCACGTCTCGCTCAGCACTGGCAATTACACCACGTCCTCTCACTCAGCCCGAGCACTCCACAACAAATCACTTCTCGTTTTTCTCGGAAATTAACCTGACCACATGGCAGGGTGACTCCGCTCTTTCTCCTCAAGAAGTGATTTCAGCACTATGGACAGCTCCCCTCGACTCTCAACGTGTGTATTTGTGGAGCAAATTTAACACTAACAGTAACAACAATATTGAAAAGGAAGGAAACGAGGAGGCTGACGGATACAGTCATACATCTGAAACAGAAAAATCGCCGTGGCGTGGTCAAAAAGAACAGCTGGACCTATGGGAGAGTGCGCTGCGAGAAATGGTAAACGCAGGGTGCGCTGACAGCATCTCCGGCGACTGTTCACCCACCGAGCAAGGGAATCACGCACATATGCAATTAAAATCGGGTAAGCAAGTGCCATTAGAGCTAGAAGGTGTCAGACACTCAGAGAGGCAGCAGATGGGGGCTGAGGGAGAAAGGGAGAGGGGTGCAGAGAAGGAGGGGAGAGGGCTTGGAGGGGTCCGCCGCTGTTGGGGGAGGGAAATTACAGGTGGGGGTGGGCGAAAGAGAGGCGCGGCTCATGGCAGGGAGAGAAACAGGGGGAGAAGAGCAAGAGGAGGAGGAGGAGTGGGAGAGGGAAAGGGTAATAACAAAGGCAAGCCAGGCAGAGGAGAGAGAGGCAGAGGGAGGGAAGGGTCAGGATAGGGCCAGTAGCATCAGCACCATCACACAAGCACATAGCAGGATGGGGAAAGAAGAGAGCCAGGCAGATGAAAGCCACGAGGTAGGAAAGGGGGATAAGAGGGGGGGAGAGGAGGAGGAGGAGAGGCACAGTTCAAGGGGAGAGAGGAGTCTGGAGCGACTGATAATAGTAGCAGATGATGAAACCTCACAGGGTGATAGGGGGAGGAAGATTCTGATGCCATGGCCTCGCTCACGGCGTGCAGCAAATAGACACCCCCATTTCCCCCAGTATAACTATCAAGTCCAAGTAGCTGAAAACCAACCACCCGGCACCTCAGTCATTGTCATGTCCGCCTCAGACCCGGACGCAGGAGACGCAGGCAGGGTGAGCTACACAATGGCCCCACTCATGAACAGCCCGATCATCCGACTACTTCCACATCCACCCAGACACAGGTCTCATCACAACCACTCAGATTCTGGACAGAGAACACATGGACTTGCATTACTTCCGAGTCACAGCGACAGATTTTGGCTCCTCACGCCTCTCTGGCACCACGATGGTTGCTATTACTATAGCAGACCGGAATGACCATGCTCCCATTTTTGAGCAGGCAGAGTACAGGGAGACTATCAGGGAGAATGTAGAGGAGGGGTATCCCATCTTACAGCTCAGAGCGACCGACTTAGACTCCCCTTCCAATGCCAATATCCGTTACCGCTTTGTGGGTGACTCTGTTGTTATTGCAAGAGCAGCCTTTGAGATTGACCCTCGCTCTGGCCTTATTACCACCCGTGGAGCAGTGGACCGGGAAACAAACGAGCACTACACACTCCAAGTGGAGGCCAGTGACCAGGGGAAGGAACCAGGGCCACGCTCTGTGACTGTCAAAGTTTTTATCACTGTGCTGGATGAAAACGATAATGTGCCACAGTTCAGTGAGAAGCGCTATGTAGTAGCAGTAAGGGAGGATGTAAGGCCTCACTCTGAGATCCTGCGTGTGAGTGCCACAGACCGGGACAAGGACAGTAACGCTGCTGTTCACTATAACATTATCAGCGGTAACAGCCGTGGACAGTTTTCTATCGACAGTGTCACTGGAGAGATTAATGTTGTGGCACCTTTGGACTATGAGTCAGAGCGGGAGTATACGCTCCGTGTTCGTGCACAGGACAATGGCAGACCACCACTTTCCAACAACACCGGTATTGTCAGTGTACAGGTGACGGATGTCAACGACAACCCACCCATCTTTGTCTCCACACCGTTCCAGGCATCTGTCCTTGAGAGCGCCCCAATTGGTAGTTCCATCCTCCACATTCAGGCCATTGATACTGACTCTGGTGATAATGCCCGCCTGGAGTACAGGTTGACTGGCACCAGCTCTGACACGCCGTTCATTATCAACTCTGCAACAGGCTGGGTCACTGTGAAGACCATTCTGGACCGAGAATCTGTAGAGCATTATTTCTTTGGTGTGGAGGCCAGGGATTATGGCATGCCCCCACTTTCTGCCACAGCGAGTGTTACAATAACAGTGATGGATGTTAATGACAACCGCCCAGAGTTCCTTCAAAAGGAGTACTATTCTCGCCTGAATGAGGATGCAGCAGTTGGCACCAGTGTAGTGACCGTCACCGCTGTGGATCGTGATGTCAACAGTGCTGTGACCTATCAGATAACAGGAGGAAACACCAGAAACCGCTTTGCCATCAGCACAGCAGGAGGGGCTGGACTTCTTTCATTAGCCCTCCCGTTGGACTACAAACAGGAGCGGAGGTACGTTCTAACAGTCACTGCCTCAGACCGCACACTGCACGACACCTGTCAGGTGCACATCAACATCACAGATGCCAACACACACAGGCCAGTATTTCAGAGTGCCCACTACTCTGTCAGTGTGAATGAGGACCGACCGCCTGGGAGCACTGTGGTTGTGATCAGCGCCACTGATGATGATGTTGGTGAAAATGCTCGAATCACATACTTCCTCGAGGACAACATCCCACAGTTCCGCATTGACACTTCCACAGGGGCTATAACACTCCAGGCAGAGCTCGACTATGAGGACCAGATGACCTACACTCTGGCTATAACAGCTAAAGACAATGGCATACCACAAAAATCAGACACAACATATGTTGAGGTGAATGTGAATGATGTGAACGACAATGCACCTCAGTTCCTCAGCCCCAGGTACCAGGGAACAGTGAGTGAAGACGCCCCTCCTTTCACCAGTGTCCTCCAAATCTCTGCTACTGACCGCGATGCACACGCCAATGGTCGCGTTCAGTACACCTTCCAAAATGGTGAGGATGGGGACGGAGACTTTACCATTGAGCCTACATCTGGAATCTTGCGCACTGTTCGACGTTTGGACCGCGAGAGCGTTCCATTCTATGAGCTCACAGCCTATGCAGTGGATCGTGGTGTACCTCCTCAAAAAACCCCCGTGCACATCCAAGTAACGGTCCTAGATGTGAATGATAATGCACCTGTCTTCCCCGCTGACGACTTTGAGGTTCTTGTAAAAGAGAATAGTGCCGTGGGCTCTGTAGTGGCCCAGATCACAGCCACTGACCCTGACGAGGGCGCCAATGCTCAGATCATGTACCAGATTGTGGAGGGCAACATCCCCGAGATCTTTCAGATGGACATCTTTTCAGGAGAGCTCACTTCACTCATCGATCTTGACTATGAAGCCCGCAACGAGTATGTCATTGTAGTCCAGGCCACCTCAGCACCTCTAGTTAGCCGGGCTACTGTTCGTATCCGATTGGTTGACCAGAATGACAACAGACCCACTCTGCGGGACTTCCAAATCATCTTCAACAACTTCGTGTCCAACCGTTCCAACAGTTTCCCCAATGGTGTAATTGGGAGAGTACCTGCCCACGATCCCGATGTGTCAGACAGGCTGTACTACACCATCGACCGAGGGAACGAGCTTCACCTGTTGCTTCTGAATCATACCAGTGGAGAGATCCGACTGAGCCGAAAACTGGATAACAACAGGCCGCTGGTGGCTCCCATGCTGATCACCGTCACAGGTAAGAGACCGTGAAGGGGAAAAAATGGGGGGAAAGGATGGGAGGGAGTGTGAGTCTTTGTATGTGTGTGGTGCAGTAACTTCAGACTCCCCTGTAGCTTTATTCTCTGTAACAAATACTGTGAAGATAAGCAGTCTGACTCCACAGGTTTGAGTGCGAGTAAGAGTGGGTTGTGAGTGATAAGACAAGATGACATTTGTTCAAGCTCTGGGAATTGCTTTTTATTTTTTTCTCCTCCTATTTCTTCTCGTGTGCTTAAATGGATGCATGATGAACTGGGCTTCTTGAAAAATTAGAATCCAAGCCCAGCTGTAGTACCTCTGTCTCAGACATTAATACACAAGCTACATTTAGACCCTTTAAGAGTAATGTAATGTTAATACATCCCTTTAAGTCCCTCAGTGTGAAAGCTCTTAGGAGAAATTGTGTGTACTTATGACTGTGACATTCAGAATGAGATAGAGCTTTTACTTTGTTAGATTTTTCCTGAAAATACGGTGACGAGATGAATGCTAGTCGGCTTTGTGAGTTAAAAAATGAGGAAAGGAAGATGAAAATGTGAAAACAAATGAAATTTAATAACATTTTTCTGAGTGCTTAGTATGGATTTTGTGTAAGAAAAGATGACACACCAAAAAGGGGGAAAATGTGAATAAAGTGTAAAAGATGTAATATCATTTGGAAGACATTTCATCAATGTGAGATAACTGACCATAATTAGCCATATTAGTAGTTTTTCCACATCACATCTTAAAGTCAGCATTTTGCTACTGCAGGCAGTTTGGGCATGGCAATGAGAATTTTGCAAGCGGAGAAATAGGGTGGTGATTGATTTCACAATATCACACACCTTTGATTGACAGATGAACTTGGCTAAGTTGCCATAGTGATTTTGTACAAGTAAAAGCCATCTATCTAGGAGGGGAACAAGGGTGCTATGCAAGTAGAGCCAATAACTGTCACTTGCAGTTCAGTAAAGAATGTCAGTATTTGCTAGTTGGGATATACTTCCTCTTGAAATGGACAGAGGGGAGTTTTATCTTCAAGGTAAATTCACATGTCATCTGAATAAAAGTTTAAAGTGTGTCTTGGCTCTATAGAATTTATATTTGAAGCTGTTTTGAGGTTTTCTCATCTCCATAAGAATATAGTCATCTGTGTTATTTCCATCCAATGGTTAAAGTTTTAAAGTGTCTTTACTTTTTGAAATGAGGCAATTTAACTGGAATTTGTACACTGATGTGTATTATTTGTTGTATTTGTTTGTCTTTCAAGCTTTTGCTTTAAGATAGAGGCTTCCCTAAAGCCTTACAGGCTGCTTTGCTTCTCATGATCAAAGCCCTTGAAACTGAAAGAGAGGAATAAAATGAGAGCAGCGCTGTTGTTTTGAAAGCTGGGTTAGTGCTGTGTTTGTATCTTGTCAGACAGATTTAATAGAGGAGTGCTGTCTTGGGACTGTGTGTGACCTGCTACCCTATTTACACTGCTTTTATAGCAGCCTCACTGGTGGCGATGTCGCCTCTTACATATTCATTTTGGTGTTATTTTGGATAGTTGACTGAGTGAGTAGGGGTGGTAAAGACTGTGAACAAATCAGTGGGGCAAGTAACTGAGATTGTGAGTGAGTGAATTATTTAGTAAGTGAATGAGTGAGTGAGAGATTTCATGTGAAAAGGGCTGAGTGAGTGTACTCAATAAACAAAGGATTGAGTGAATGAGAGTCTGAATAAGTGCATGAGAAAAGTATTGAAGACAGACTGAGCGAGTAGTCTGAGTTTTAGTGCGCGAGTAAGTAAGACAGAGATTAAAGAAGTGATGTTATTGGTTGATAAAGAGACTACAAATATGACTTATTATGAATATGTGAGAAAAGGTTTTGTGTTAATTGAACACCTGAAATAGTGACTAAATGAATCAGCAACTGAGTTAGTGACAGAATGAGTATTCAAAAAAAACAAAGTGAACGAGAAGCATGTGGGGCAATCAAATGACCGATTTAACAAGTGAGTGAGAAGGAAAGTGAATGTTATCTCAAGACACTTTACAAAAAGCAAGTAAAAGACCTTACTCTTTGTTATATTATCTACAAAGACCCAACATTTAATCCACCATGAACACATTTAGCATAACTACAGTGGCAAGAAAAAAAACTTCCATTTAAGAGGCAGAAATCTCGGGGCAAAACCAGTCTCATGACGAACCACCTGCCGAAACTGCGCTGGACATCACTCAACGAGAACTTGCATGAGTGATTACATGAGGAGAACAGCTGAGGAAGTGAGGAAGTCAAAAAATGAATCACTAATGAGTGGAAGGGAAGCAGCTACAAATATGCAAATGAACAAGTGAAGCAAGCAAGTGAACACCTTACATATGTGTGTTAGTGTGTGTGTGTCAAATGATGTATCTAAGCATAAACGTGTGTGCCAACCTTTGCCTCCATCTCCCTCTTCTAATGTGCATTGAGCTTGCTTGAACCAGGCGTGTGGATTCATTTCCAATTTTTACACTGTTTCTCTCACTGTAAAAGTTCCCCTCTCTCTCTCTCTCTCTCTCTCTCTCTCTCTCTCTCTCTCTCTCTCTCTCTCTCTCTCCATTACTGCAGGATTTGACAGTTATGAGATTATAATGAAACAACAGTGAGCCCGAGTGAGGCTCGGAGCAAAGCTGTCACTTTCATTGTGCGCTGTGTATTATCTGTGACTACCCGTCCCTCCTCCACCCATCACTTTTCTTCCTCTCCTTTTTTTCCCACCCGCCCTTTAATGGTCGGATGAATACTTCTCAGTCATTTTTGTATTCTTTGCACTATACTCTGTCTTCCTTTTCATCATCATTCTTTCCATTTATTTCTCCTTTGGCCACTGTTTCTCATTTTATGTGCCGCTCTCCTTCTTCCATCCATCTCTAAAGTCTTCACCCTGTGTTTTATTTCCCATCTTTCTCTCCTTCCACTTTTCTCTTTCCTCTCCCCCCCTCTTTCTTTCCCTGTAATCCTCTCATAACTCTCACGGGCTGTTTTCCTTCCATGCCATATTCTTTTCAACTCTGCTCCTCCTTCCTGCTCTATGGTTTCATCTCTCCTTATTTCCGCTCTTTGTGTATGTGTGTGTGTGTGTGTGTGTGTGTGTGTGTGTGTGTGTGTGTGTGTGTGTTAATGTGTATTGAAGTGCCTGAATGTGTTGTGTATTTGTGTGTGCAGCTCTGCAGGCATGTGTGTGCATGATATTTATGTACATGTAACTTTGAACAGTGTTTTCTGTTGGTGGAGAAATATTTGTGTGTATGTGCAAGATTTGTGTTTGCAGATAGTAGGCTTGTCTTACGTACATGCGTGTGTGTGTGTGTGTGTGTGTGTGTGTGCGTGTGCGTGTGCGTGTCGGTGTGTGTGTGTGTGTGTGTGTGTGTGTGTGTGTGTGTGTGTGTGTTAATGTGTATTGAAGTGCCTGAATGTGTTGTGTATTTGTGTGTGCAGCTCTGCAGGCATGTGTGTGCATGATATTTATGTACATGTAACTTTGAACAGTGTTTTCTGTTGGTGGAGAAATATTTGTGTGTATGTGCAAGATTTGTGTTTGCAGATAGTAGGCTTGTCTTACGTACATGCGTGTGTGTGTGTGTGTGTGTGTGTGTGTGTGTGTGTGTGCGTGTGCGTGTGCGTGTCGGTGTGTGTGTGTGTGTGTGTGTGTGTGTGTGTGTGTGCGTGTGTGTGTGTTTGTGTGTGTGTGTGTGTGTGTACTCTCAGGTGGCTCAAAGCTGTGCACTTGAGAGTGTATTTATGTCTTTTCAATGAATAATATCTGTGCATGGCAGAGTGTGCAGGGAATACACTCCTCTCTTTTTCTGCTTGTCTTGCTGTCTTACTTCCTTCGTCTCTCGTACTTTCTTTTCTTATATTCTCTCTTTGTTCTTCTCTCTTCCGCCTCTCTTTTCTATCATTCTCCAGTTAGCTCCAAACTATTGATTCTCCGTTTAAATCCCACATTTGTGGTATAAAGAGATAAAAAAAAATCTGCATCCATGCATGTGTTGCCAGCAGTTTAAGCAGCTACCCTTACACACATGACACTGGCTTTAGAGACATTTAGTTGAGGCAAATAATGAAAAAAAAAACATAGTTTTAGTTTGGCACCCCCCGGACAGCATTAGCTCAAGGTGCCCTTTAGCAGAACAACCCCCAACTGCTCCTGTGGCCAGCAGCACAGACTGTGGTTTTACTGGCTGGCTCCCAGTAGTGAATATGGGTAGCAGCAGGGCTGGACTGGAAAAGAAGCATGTGCCTAAGTGGACTTCCCTGGATAGATGAAGGTGAAACAAAGACTCACTGCTAACAATCTGTCTTTTTAACAGCAGACATTTAGACATGGGACTGCAGGAAAAGCATACGAGTAAGCACAAATAAAAAGAACAAGTCAATTAATGAATGAGTTAGTTAATGCCTGTGTCACTTTAAGGGTCAAGCGATCAATCAAGATAACTGTCCTGAGCTTACTGAAGCACTTGAATAGAGCCACCATTATTGTCACTAACAACATCCGTTCTTTTCCGACTAAAACAAGTCCAGATGTCTGCTGTGGAAAAGTCTCATTGGCAGTGTTAAGTTGTTTACAAAAACACATTTGGTGTTGGTCTAGTCTATTTTGTGTTTGATTAGCAGATATCTAATTAAAACAGGAGTTTTCTTTGGCACTGGCTAAATCACTATTGCAAAAAAAAAGGGATTTTAAACTTTTGATTAAAAGTTCTAAACAACATCAGCCTCATCTCTCAACCTCACAGATTCCCTACGTCTCCACCACTGTTGCTTTGAAAGCAGGTACTGGATATTGAAGTGCAGATTGCCAGACCCCTTCAAAAGTGAAAAATACTTTTAACTAGTCATCAAACTAAAAAAAAAAGGCCTACCTGCTGTGTGGCAGTGTTTCTAAATGTGATTTTGTTCTTTTATGTAGTGAACTCAGTGTTCAGTACAGGGAGAAAAAAATCATTAATCGGCTGAA